CTGTCTGTCTGTCTGTCTGTCTGTCTGTCTGTCTGTCTGTCTGTCTGACTGACTGACTGACTGACTGACTGACTGACTGACTGACTCTAGGTGCGGTACGTCTTCCTGTCTCTTTTACTTCTCTGTGTCCCATCTGTAGCACTTTCTCCACAGGGGGTGTGGTGAGAGACTTGAGCATATTTGCTCAGGACCTTGAAACAATTAGGAAGTAAGGGGAATGTAGGAGTGTAATGTCATCTCCGTGGGCCAGATTGACACTCAAGCCTGCCCCCCCCCCCCCCCCCAAGTCCAGCCTCCGTTCCCTGAACAAGGAGAACAGAGTGTGCTGATTTCTTTCTCCAGAAACAGTCCATCTCATCCTCTCCCCGACCAACGCTGTGGTGCACAGCACAGCCTCGCACAGGGAACATCTCAGCGCTGTAAACGTTTTGGTCTACTCCCAAATTACTGACTAAGTAACAGCACAGCAGTAGATGTTGTCTTATGTCTCCCCTGCTGTCGCATATTGCACAGACCTGGAAGCCAGTCATACAGAATAGCCTAGAGTCGTATTATCCAGAACCATTTGGTCTACAAAATGTCGAAATTAAAAGTAATCACAAGCTCCTAAGTCCAACGTTAATGTCCTCAAACGAGATAATCAAATCAAAGATATTCAATTAACAAAATAGCCTTCTGTTATTATTTTAATTTTATTCGGCTCCAATTGACTCCTATTTGAAAATAAAACACACACACGTTGCCTTGTGAAGCTCAGCTGCTTGTGGCATTTAGTTTTTCTGTCGGTACACCAAAACAATCACAGCCCTCACCATCAAGATACGGGTGTTTTTGAAATTCAAGTGAAATCAGGTGATGTTTGAAAGCTATGAATTGCAGTTTGTGTTGCATTTCATATAGAAATGTCCATATTTAGTGTTCTGTTCATATTCACAGTCATGCGTTATGGTTACATCTTATATTTATTGGTTAAAGTCTGTTCTTTTTAAGCTCATGTGTCTGATAAAGCCAATGAAATTGGAAGAATCTAGTCGGCCACAGCACCTACTCTCTGCCCTCCAACTTCTTGCAACACAATGCTGTTCTCCTTCATTGGGGGGGACTTGGTGCAACTCTACACCACTGGGACATTGCAAGTGTTAACTGGGATGGTTTCGTGGTTAAGTCATGATGGTGTAATGTACTGGCTAAGAACAGTGTGTCAATCAATCAGCTGGCGAGACCGTTATGCAGTGCGGGGCCTTTTACATAGTCCGACCTTCCCTGGTGGTTAATAGCTTTGAAAGATGTGTTTAGCTTCAAACTGTTGCTATAATCATGGCTGTAGCAACAGGCAGAGCCCGAGTAACGTCAGGGTCAAACAAATTGTAGTGTATTGTACTGTATAGTATTTGAAGCGTGTTGTAACTTAGCAGCTGCCCAATCTGCTAAAATGCCACAGCATGGGGCAAAAGTGCATTGAAGAGCACACTGGTTTCCTACATAACGGGGATCGAGTTTAGTCTGCTGTACCGCCAGGCACGAGGTAGAAAAAATGTGATGTAGCAGACGTTAGTAGATCGGCGGGGCAGCTGGGAAGAATGTGGAGCAGGGAGTTAATGTTGGCAGCCATGTCCATGGGCTTATGAACTAGAGCTACAACTAACAAGCATTTTCTTTGATGATTAATCTGTTGATTATTTTCTCGTCAGAAAAGTGAAAAATCCCACAACTCAGACACACAGCGTACTGTCACAAAGGGGTAAAGAAACCAGAACATATTCTTATATTCGTTAAATAGCTGAAATCAGAGAATTTTGACCAATTCGATTAACAAAATATTTGCCGATTCATTTATTAGTTGACAATTTATGGAATTGTTGCAGCTCTATTATGAACTGCTCTCTCTCCTGATTCTGTGACAGAAGACAGGATGTCTGTGGACATTGATAGATCAGGAGAATAAGGGAAGGTGACCTGCTGAAGCTTTTCAATGTGTACAGACAACTCTCTCTACAATTTACTGTAAATGACTGACCTGTGAAGTTTATTGCTTTGACTCTAAATTGTCTAAAGTTATACTAATCAAAAGAAAATATGATGATTCAGTTATAAAATGTATTTGAAAAAGACAAATTCAGCCACTTTTTTGAGGTTTTTGAAATATTTAAGTTTAGAGATAATTCATTTAACATACATATATCTTCAATAAAAGTATTTTAGATGAAGTAAATAATGAACAACTGCAGGACCTGTTTTTTGAGAACACACCTGTTTTGCTTTAAGACTTCAGCAGCAGGGTATTTGGGTAAAGATGCTGTGTGGTGGGCAGGAATGCAGTGCAGGCAGCAGGGGGGCAGGCAGGCCAAAGAGGCACAGCCAGGGGAACTATAATCCTGTTAAGAACCCAGCTGTGTCTGACGTCAAACTCATCTAGCTGCAAACTAGAGGTGAGGAGCTCTCATTAGGAGGGAAGGAAAGGAAGAAAAGAGTGTAGATGCGCTGCTTAGAAGTGACGGCAGAGGAAACGGAGAAAAGAATTCAGCCGATTTTTAAGCTCCGAAGTGTTATTTCTGCCCCACTTCACCTGGGCTTCTTTGACAAGGACATGATGCTTTATGGCTCAGTCTGCTTCATCATAGCTTATACAAGAAGTGCTCTGCGTTATTGAACATAAACAACCTCTTCCTCTCCAAAAAGTGGTGATCCTCAGGCTGTGAAAACCTTTTCACATTCTCTATGATTGTTCTCTTCCACCCGCCGCAGAGTGTGAGCACCTGATCCGCAGGATGTTGGTACTGGACCCATCAAAGCGTCTGTCTGTGGCCCAGATCAAGGAGCACAAGTGGATGGCCCTGTACGCTCCCGTACAGAGGCCTGTCCTGTACCAACAGCCTCTGTCTGCTGAGGGCGAGGCGGGTGTGGGAGAGTACAGCGAACAGGTCCTTCGCCTGATGCACAGCCTCGGCATCGACCAGCACAAGACGATAGAGGTGAGGAACAACAGGGATATGAAGGGGTGAGGTTTAAAGGTCAGAGCCTCAGAGTGTGACAAAGATAATGGTTTTACTATATGCATCCATAGCTGATCTAAGAAGGATACAAATGTGTGGAATAAGGTCATCATTTACTAGACCAGTCAGTGGGGGAAAGAAGTACTGTCATATACCGTTGAGTTCAAATTTTAGCTTCTTTGCTATATTTTATGGGCAAATATTGTGAATTTTACTTCACTACATTTTGTGACAGCTATAAGTACTTTGCAGATTGAGGTTTTACACACAAAACATCTGATTAGTTATCCGCATCATAGAAATGCTTGTTAAAGCAGCAGCAATAATCCATGATTATTCATAATCCCTGAACAAAAGGTAGATTAGAACATCATTTCAAATGTGTCAGATCTGAACCACATAGTGTGTGTGTGTGTGTGTGTGTGTGTGTGTGTGTGTGTGTGTGTGTG